ATTTGTTTTGTATGAAAAAAAATAAGAGCACCGTTGGCAAAAAACAATGTTATCAAAAATCAATGCGATCTAAGCCTCTTGAAACTTGCACCTTATTAATAGAATATAATGTGCTACAAAACTGCATACATACTTGGAATTTTTCTAAAAATTGTGAATAAAAAATTTTGTTTGTGAATTTTTTTTAATCTCCCTACAAAGTTTGAGATGTGTATTGATATGGTGTTAAGTATTATATAATTAACTAGACTTTAATAAAAATAATAGTCGAAACTGGTCAAAACATCGGGTCGTTTTTTCACATGACAATGTGTCTACATATGCATTTTTATGAAAATTTACTTTGGGTGCGTTTCACGTCGAATGTATGTACCAGGCGCGCTCAATGGTGCAAAACGAGATACTTTTCGACAAGCTGGGAAGCAGACAGAAAAGCGAAATCAAATTCGCCAACTATGATTTCTATATAGATAGTATGGGCTATCTATGGTGCTATGCGTGTTCAAAAAAGTCAGAAAAAAGTCTAAATTCGTTGAACCATCCCATAACTTATAAAAGACTTTGGTATTTGTCCAGCTTTTATTTAATAATTGCTGTCTTTATAGTTTATACTAATGAGTTTGCGCTGTGTGTGTGTGTGTATTTCCAAATGAAAAATATTACTCATACCACATGTCAACCTACAACCCAAAACGCTTTCAAGCACAAGCATAGTGTAAGTCAACCGCTACTAAATACTTACCCACTTTTCTTCGCGTTGCCTTAAGCAGCTGCGCCAACTGACAAAACCAGACTTCGTTTGTTGCCTGAATGCCAAAGCTGTCATTGACAATTATTTGCCGTTACGACATTGCATTCAAGGTCAATGCCAGCTAACCAGTGAGCATCACAAAGCCTCACTCAGATGCACTCACCAAAATTGCAATGTAATCGCTCGCTACAACAATAAATGAAAGTGAAATGAATGAACGCTTGAATGATTCGCAAAAAGCATTAGATGCTAGCGAATAACCTCAAACAGAAATAAATGCAGATTAAGCGCATCTACTAAGTATGTATATATGTATGTATGTGCGTATGTTTAAGATGCGTTTCGCTGCGCAACAATAGCATTTGTGGCGCCATGGTGAGTGTTTACAGGTTTTTGTACTTTATTCCTCAAATTTTGTAATTTCACTTTCTTTTTGTCTACATTTAAGAATACATTGTTCTACTTGCAACAGTCTCCGTATTTAACCCTTTCTGCACAAAAAATCATCCGTTGAAGCAAAAAATCTCATAATTTTTAAATCGGCTAATTTTAGGTCGTTGATTTCAAAAATAAATACAATCAAAAACATTTAGCGTTTTTTAGCGTCCATTGTATTTGACAGTGGTAGCCCAGATTTGCAAAATGGGAAGTGATCTCAATTACATTTTTTTTTTCTTTCGCGAAATATATGTATTTCAAAACAATGAATGATACATAAAAATGTTTTCGAATTTCAATTCGACCAAAAAATAGTCAGATTTTTTCCAATATATTACACTATTCACTATCGATTTTTGTAAGAGTTTTCACTTTTGTGAAAAATACGGTCAACAGTTGTTTTAATAACAAACTTATTTTATTTACAAAAAAAAAACTTTAAGCACAAAAAAAGTTTCTCCAATATATTGCACGCTTGTACTGAAAGGGTTAAAATTCCCATTTACAACCACGCGAAATTTGAGTATGTAAATACTAAGTATGTAAGGAAGTGCATATGTATGTATGTGTGTCTAATCCGCCTAAAACAATAGCAGCATCTAAGCGTTGCATGCAATCCATGCGAGCACTTTTGCCATTTCCGGCATTTATGTATAACAAACAGCTTTGAACGCTAAACCAGCTACATTTCGCCCCAATCGTATGTGGCAGTTATATGTATGCACATATGTATGTTTGTATGTACTGCAGTGCTCGCTGCTTCGGTTGCATAAGCACTCACTAACTACTAAATAGTAGTTGAGCAAGCTGTGTGTATGCCGTTCGTATGTAAATGCAAATACATACATATGTATGTGTTTGAGTCGAATAGTAGCATGTTCACATGTAAATACATACTTACATATGCGTACCTTTCGTTGACTTTGAATGGATGCCTTTTCTTCCTTAGTCACTTTGTTCTTTTGCATTTATTTATGTTTTAACTATATACTATACTATTAAGAAATGCATGCATACAAATATACATATACTTACATACATATGTATGTACTCACATCTGTCTATACGAGTATACGCGTTAAAAAAAACTACTTTTTCTTGCCACACTATTATTTTGTCGTTATAAATATGCACATATATACATACATACATACACATATATATGTACAATGTACATACCCAATAAACATTGTGGCGAATGTTCGAATATTACCCTCGATATCAAATATGTATATCGAACTGAGAGCGAACTCATAACCAACCTTAGTTTTCCAACATTCATAGTAGATTGAAAATACACTCGAAATGGGTTCGAAAAAAAAAATGTAAACCATAGTAACAAGAAATAAAGTGTAATCCAGCTCATTCTTGAAGGGAAACATAAAACAAGTCACTCTCTCTCATTAAAATTTCTATTCGATATTGAGCTGGATTTCGAATTCATAACGAAGGGAAGATACATAAAGAAAGAAAGAAAGGTTCCATTTTTCTGGAGAATGGAGAACTCGAAAAGCAGATTCGTTTTCCAATCACTTTCGAATTGTTAACCAAGCCGAATGTTTACTGGGTATATATGCCATATAGCTTTTGTTATTGTTACTGTTATTGTACGCATTTGTGCTAAGCTGGTCGGTCTCATGGCATCACAAAACAAAAGCGCTCTTGTTCTGACGTTGAGTGAATACTCAGTCTTCTAATGATTTAATGGCTAAAAGATGGACAAGAAACTTATGCAGAAAACTGTATTTAATAGCCACAAAAGTGCGTGGTGTTTTCAATTTAAAGAACCATTCACTTGAGATTTAAATATTTATATTCTAAAAGGGCGGTTGAATGTTGGATTACCCGGCATATCGTTAACATTTTATTGATTACTATTCGTCGAGAGTATTGCTAAATCGAACACGGAGTATATAAAGCTTTAACCGTCTAAGCAATTTTGGAATAAGTACATATTTATGTTAGAGTGGTTCAAAAAAAATTTTTTTTTTTAATTCATAAACGTTACTTCAAATTATTGTTGTTTGTGATAAAAAAAGAGAAAAGTATTTTATTATTTTGAAAAAAAGTTTTTTTTTGCATCGAAATATTGTTATTTGTGATAAAACAAAAGAAAAAACATTTTTTTATTTTGAAAAAAAAAAATAAAATAAAGGTCGCGCTGGTCATGGTAACAAGTTCCAACCCATGACAATGCTTAAAAGGTTCAGTATCGATGTTTTAACTTTAGCAGTCTCTTTTCAAAAGCATATTTTCGGGCACTAGGCCCATTCTAACTGTCCAAGAGAGGTATGTAATTAAGGAAATATTTCCCAATTATACCTGAGTAATTACATGAAAAAACAACATTTTTAGCTGCACTTAAAATTGTCACGAAAATAAAAAAAAAATTAGAACATTGGCGTTTTTATAAAAAACCGACCAGCGCGACGTCTAAAGACGCTTTTTTCAAAAATAAATCACGTTTCTCTTTTTTTATCACAAGTAACAATATTTTGCAGCATTTATGAATTTCCAAAAAGAGCGTTTTTTTTACCACTCTAATGTATGCAAATATATTATTGGCGCCAATCAGAAAAAAATAATAATAAAAAAATTACAGTCTTCTAACTGTCTATAACTGCTGTATAGACTACACAGTCTGGCCTTTTGTCTTGGGGCCACCCATGCTTGGGCGTACCACGCAAGAGCCTTCATTCAACTATAGTTTTCGGTTTCCGGATTTCTGTAGAGTTTTTCAATCTGAACTAACAGTAATCAAGGAAGCTTTAAGGTGGCTAGTCGATTCGTCTCTCACCCTGCATGCAATAGGTTTTTTCTCTCATAGTCAAGCAGCTATTAAAGCACTTGGATGCGATAAATCCTCATCAAGAATTGTCATAGAGTGTAGACTCACTCTCCAAACAAACACACCACATATTTCGTATAGGTGCCAGGCTACAATGGTATATCAGGTAAGTGTATGGCAGATGCACTCGCGAGGAAGGGTTCCTTCAATTGTGACCCTTGTGTGTAACAACCAGGAGTTTACAAGTAGTTGGCAACACACTTCTGAAGAAACAAGTCCCACACATTTCTTAGATATAGCTGTGAATTTATCAAAAATCTTTTGAAGGCGTGATTTCTGCTCAAACCGCAACCGGGTTTGCAAAAGTAGAAACCGCTCTTTACCGATAGTGGCAGCGTACAGAGATTCAGAATACGAGTAGTCAAATAGTTCCTTGGCTGATGAATGATTTTTTAGCAGCTGAAAGTAATCAGATCGTGCGGGTATCCCGTAATCATTTTGCAACTTTGGCTGGAAACTAAATTTACCGAACTGGCTAATAGTGGATGATCTGCAGCGCCCACTTGCAGGATAGCGCGACCAATCTGGCCTAAATGAAGCGCCTCCTGTCTCGACATGTAGTCGGGAATATCACGACTGATAACCAATATAATTGTCTGCGGTCGAATGACTTCTATCGCAGTTGCAGCAGGTTCGTCGACATTTGTTCCATCATTAACTTTCTTGACTCGTGAACTCAGCACGGCTAGTATCTTTTTGAAACCTTCATCATTCACAGCTCTATTTTCATTTTTGAAGCTTTATATTTACACGATTAACACTGGGTATTAAATAAATGACAGAAATTTAAAAAACATCACTAAGTTCGCTCCACATGCCATTTTTTCTTTTTTTCAGTTGCATAAGATTTAAAATTAAGTACGTATACTTTTGAGCATTACTTTTATTAGAATCAGTACCCCCATTACTTAACTAATTTATTTGTCATCTAATTACCCAATCGATCTATTTTTTACATTTCAGGAAATGGGTTGATAAACGAGGCTGAATTCCTGCAATGGGTTGGGCGCATTCAGGCGATACGCGACGAACAGCAACAGCAGCAACAACAGCATGAAGAAAATGCAAGTAAACCAGAAGAGAATGATGATGTCACCGAAGATTTAATCGCCGCATTTAGGTGAGCCATCGAAAAAGAGCGCTGTATTTATATTTATATGATATACTACATATGTACACACTTGTGTGGATACAAATGTATATACATACATATGTATTTCTATCAACACGCATTAAGTAAATTCTTTGTCAATCGTAGATACAGTATTCAGAATCTTGAGTGCCTTGATTAAGGAATTAAGGAGAGGCAATTCAAACTAGTTAGGATTGCACATCTACATACATTCATACATGCATACATACTTATATATAATCTAACGCTTTAGCTTCTAGTATATCTGACAACTTAAAGTGTTATCGTGGATTTTGTACGTCAATAGAATTTTAATTGTACATATTTATGTATGTACATTAGGACGCCACACCAAAAAGTTGCGGGTTTTTCATAGGAACTAGTAAATATTTAAACATTTTTATGCAGGTCTTTTAAGCTCCAACTTTGCTATAATAGAGTTTATTTTGTGTGAATAAAGACATTTTTAAAAACTTATTTTATTTATAAAAAGCTCGATTGTTGGAGGTATTTTCAAATCGGACCCCTTCACGTGCATATGTATATTAGAGTGTTGCAGAGGGGCACAATAGATCTCCTGTTCGCAGTGCATCCCTCAACTGAATATCTATCTATCTAGAGTGTTGCAAATTTTGTTTGAGAAAAAATATGTCATCGTAGAAACTTTTAATTTTCTGTGACCAATACATGGTGCTCAATGACCTCTGAAGCTGGCAATATTTGTTCGGATAATTTAAATTTCAAATGGTCTCAGGTAGCTTAACCTACATATTCTTTGCTTAATATATGAACAATAAACTTCTAGAGTAAAATTTAAACTTTTCATAAGCATCCTCTAAATTTATACTTAGAAACGTAAACGCACCAAGCGAGCAACTCTTTCAGCAAGAGGAAAAATTTTGGAAGGGGGCCTCAACCCTAACTCGAAAAAAAATTTTTTTTGCACCACTCTAATGTACATTTTAATATTTTTTTTTTGTATGGAGAGTGATGCACCCTAATGCACATATAAAAATATGTATTTCAATTGTATCCACTTTGGTAGAATCGTAATCTGCTTGTCGCTGGCGCAATCAGCTGGCCTTTAATCAAGCACACCACAAACTGTCAACAACAAAGCACAACAAGTTACTGCCGACGCCATTTCTCCTGCTCCAGCTGTCACACACAGTGACTTTTCGGTTTTGGTTTCCACGCAGGACTTAACTGCAAAATGTAACTTCCTGAGAAGTCTGATTTAAATCCCTTTCAGTTTACTCGTATCAATGTGCAATGTGCAGTTTGCCAACCCATGGAGCAGAGTCACAATGCGGCTGAGAATGTTTACCTTTGCTTGTTCAAGATATTTAATTTGCCGGCGGTCCGGCACGTATCTGTGGGCTTCTCCTCGACATTCATTTCGTGCTTGTTTGGATTGTGAATTATTGATTTTCTGATAATACTGTGTGTTTGTGCCACATATACATATTTATGTATGTATGTGTATGTATACATAAACAAATATTTATCAACTCTTTGTTACTTCGATAAGAGAAATTGATTTTGTAGTAGGGTGAGGTCGATAGATACCGATACATGTGCAAGTAACAACTAGTACAGACACAGACACAGTAACAAAGACAAATATAGACACAATTACAGGTCCAATTACATATACAGGTACAAACTTAGTTACTATAAGGATACTATTTATAAATCTATATATTGTTTTCTACAGGGTATTTGATCGGGACGGCAATGGTTTCATTACCCGCGACGAACTACAAACCGCCATGGAGATGATTGGCGAACCTCTCTCAGAAGCACAACTCACACAATTATTGGCTATTGCCGATTTGGATCAAGATGGCCGAATTAATTACGAAGGTAGGTCAGCCATACATGTATGTTGTATACTATGCTCTTACATATTTACATGCATAAGTACAAGCAAACCCAGCTAATACCCAATAAGCATACAACCCTTTGCATACTAAAACTTTTGTCACCGTACAATTCTTGTAAGTAAAATATGTTTCGCTTGCAATAATTTTGCAGTGCATTAACCTTAGCGTGCAGCGTGGCACAATAGAGGTCAGCTATGACGCACATCACGACAGCGTGCTTATGCACAACATCCTAACGCTGGCATGCAATTGTTTTGATTCATTTGTATATACATACATACGTACATTGGGGTGTCCCAGATTTGTTTTTTGCGAAATTCGATATGCATGCCCTGTACATTTTTTTTTTCTTTTAACCTAAATAACATATGGGTCAATTCATGTCAAATCGACCAATGGTCTAACCAATCGACCATTTTTGATTTGCATAAATTTTGATCAGAACTTTTCTTTTATCATATAACGAAGTTCTACCAAACGGAATTAAAATAAAAGATATTTTTTCGAATGTTCAAAATTGCACAATTTCTCGGATCTTGCAAGTTTATCTTTTGATTAGCTCAAAAACTTTTATAGTTGCAAAAATTGTTCTGCTTAAAAAGCTCTAAAAATATAAAAATATACAGAATTTTCAAATTTTAAAAATCTTAAAAGGAAAAACGTATAAGTTTAAAATATTTGGCTCATTTTATTTGTATACAATAACTTTCACTGATCTTAACAGATCATGAAGTTTTCAAGGTGTTTTTATGCTAATTTTTGAATTTAAAAAAAATTATTGCAAACTCTAAATAAAAAGTTAAATTAAATAAAAAATTGTGTTACATAACTTTACGTTACTAAAATTTGCATTGAAAAATTTTTAATAATATGGTTTATTAACCAATTTTGACCACAAAAAGAAACATGCATTTTATGTCGAATATATTTTTTTTATTTGACCTCAGCGCCACCCAGCAGTTCCATTTTTGCAAATCTGTCTTACTATGTTTCCACTACGTATGCCAAATTTTAAACAAAGGGGAGCATAAATACGGATTTTAAAAATATCTCCACCCTGCTTACATAACCAGTACTCGTATATATTATTCGTTCCATACATAAATTAGAGATGTAACTTCTATTTTTTTCGCGGTAGACCTTCCGCTGGAAACGCCCCTATGTAAATACAAGTTTATGTGTAACTTCTTAAGCCATCGACTTATTCAAATGTTAGTTCGAAGTTGTAGTTGTACAAGGATGTACTGACCTTCTCAGCAAAGCGTGTATATTTGTCCACAGTGTACGTAGTATAAATATATCCATGTACGTATATACAGCTACATCAATACATTGAACAAATATTGGCACAATGGGTATACATATAATACAAGAACAATAGGTCTGTTCGTTTACATTTTCCAATGAAAGGGTCCCATATCTTAAGTTAAATGTTTCTAAATATGGTCCTTTATGTGTTGGATGTGCTAATAACTTATAAATTGATATTTTTTCATTTAAAGATATTTTTAGTTAGACACAGCAATATATTTTCACAGCGCAATTTCCGGAAAGCTGTAATTGATGTTTAATCCAACATTATTTAATTTCATACAAATTCGGTAACAAATTTGTCACACGATGACACTGAATTATTTTGACAGCACTCGTATAGCACCAGCACTGGAAAGCGAACTTTTAAATTTGACAGCAAAATACATTGGAAAAGTATTTTCATTGCCACACCTAACTACACTTTTAGAAATTCAGCATTTTCTCTCTTATTTAAACTAGCTTGGGTCTGATAACTTTGTTTTTCGTCCTCTTAAGTCCCTTGGAATAGAAATAGACCAATATTACTTTTCATTACTTAATTTCTGGTTTTAAACAGCCTTTTAGGAATACCTCTTTCTTCCCCATTAATTTAAAGACACGTATGTTAAAAAGAAAAAAAAAATCAAAACTGCTCGATTCCCTCCACTATGGAGAAGAGTCGTTGAACGAATACCGGATCACAACGGATGAAATGGATGCCAATACAAAGGGCCAAAATTTTGATCCAAATCCTGAGAGCATTGCAATGGACGAAATGGTTTTCAGACCAAACCGGTCAGACCGGTCTGCAAACTGTGCAAACTATACGTTGAAATGTCCAACTTTGACTCTGTTGCCAATGGCGATAATGCACAGACGACGATTAGGATCATGAACACTCGTCTCAAAATGAGGACAATGCAGTAGACTAGGCCGTAAATAAAACTTTTGCAATTACCCCTTCTACAGGGACTTACAATTTCTATTCCGACCGGACTAAATGTTGATGATGATACGAGTACGTCACTCATACGCCGTGACAACCGAGTAACTTTGGCAGGCAGGCAGGCAAGTGATCAAGCAGACTTTGGATCGGTGTGGACTTTTATTTTATTTAAGTTAAATTTAAATTAAATTAAACATTTTTTCAGCAAAATATGGTAAATTATTCGAATTTTTAAAATTTTTGATAATCGATTTACCTCAATCCAGAAAACCTTTTTAGTGTAGTTTTACCTCCTGAGACCTAAGAAAAATCAGAGTGCTAACTAAAAATTTCCATAAGTCACTTTGAAAGGGGTAGTCAAAAATTGCTAAAAATCTCATTTATCGACGCCCTCAAATATTTTCACTCTGATCGCAACAAATTGAATACAAATTTAAACATTTCAATGCCCTTTTTAGCTATTCATTTTCGTTCAAATGAAAACTTATTTTTAATATTAATAACAATTAATAATAAAAAAAAATCATTTATTTTTGCTCTATTTACAGAATTTACGAGACTTTTACTTTAAAGTGCTAAACGCCTGCATCCTTACAAACAAATATTAGTGACGCAACAACAAACCAACTGCAAAGGCAACAAAAAGAAAATATATATGCTAACTTTATATACAAATATACTCAACTTAAATGAAAAATTATATACATAGTTAAGCATATGTTATGTATATTAAAAATAACACGCTATTAATGAAAAAGAGTCAAAATAAAATAGCAAAATAAAAGCATATTTTTATAAGTTCGCCAGCGTTTATCTGCTAAGGTGGTAAGAAGACAAATTGGCAGCTGGAAGTTGAAACGACATACATACATACATACATACATAGCTGTTGGAAGAAAAGGAGAAGCAAGTCAACAAAAGATGAAAATTTTAGTTATTAGGCTGTTAATTTAAATAAACACAACTACTTATTTATAGTTTCACACGAAAAAAATATACATAAAAACAACTACATGCACACATACACACCTACATACATATGTCTAGTTAATTTAAGTTAATTTACATAAATGCTAATCAAATTGTGTAAAAGCAGCAGCAACAAAGAAAGAGAAATTTGTAAGATAATACGATAATTGCAGCGCTTAGTTTTTTCTAAAGAAAGAAAATAAAAACAAACAAAAATAACTTTAAAGCGAACTTCAATTCTTAAACTGAAACATACATACATATATAAAACTGTATTCATAACATTGAATTTTACAGATTTATAATAAATGTTATAATATTAAAAATATAAAACAAAATTCATATAAGTCTGAGCGCGAGAGTGATAAAATTTTGTGTTAAGGGTGCTGCAATAAATGATTTGAAATTCTGATAAAAGTCAAAGCAAAAGTGAGTGTATTGAATAAATTTTGATCAGATGGTGATGATGATGACGACGACGACGATGATGTCGTACAAATGAATTATCGCTAAGGATCAAAAGCTTTGCAATCAAATGCAAGCTAACCTAAAAAAATACAAATATTACGTACATACATATATTGCGCAATTTTCAAATTTGCTGGCAAAACAAATATTTACACAAAAAAAAAAAAAAACAAATTGAAAAAACTAAATGTAAACCTTCAATATTGTCTTACCAAGTGAAACAACTACAAAATTAAAAAATTTTAAAATCAAAATTATTATATACTACTCTTATTATTAAACTAAGTCGTTTTCTAAAATTCTATAAATCACCTGTACGTTTATTAATATCTCTGTATGTACATACATGCTTACATACTTATGGCTAAGCAGTATGTGTATGTATGTACAAATATATTCGCATGTGCATTATTACTTAGCTTTGTTTAAAACAAAATTAAATGAGCGCATACAAAGAAATATACATACAAACAAAAAAAAAACAACAAACAAACAAACAAACATATTTAAACAATTATTAGGAAATGGCATGGAAATTAAATAAAGTAAAATATTTTGTAAATTTATTTGAATAAATGAAACTAAATAAATTTAATTGTTGATAATAAACAAATATACAAACGTAGTTTCTTTTTTTAGATTTTTTTGTTATTATTTTCTTTTTTATAATGTGGGCAGGAAATAAATTTTTAATATACTATGTATCTTAAACAAGTATAAAACCGCTAGGGATCATACGATCTAGCTAAGGATTGGGTTAGGAAGGCGTATATGAATAGAAAAATTATATTTCCTCTCGTAGGCAAGTTTGGCTTATTGTGAATACCCACAAACCGCGCCTCCCCACGCTATAAACGCAAGAAAGAAGCACATTCTTCTAACCGGGATTGACTATGGCAACACCATATCGTTACCTGAGTTGAAGATCGACCTATCTGGGCTGCCAGTTCGAAAACGACCTATCCCAGAGAAAACTTTTCAAGAACGCCCTACTGCAGAATTTTATTGCCACCAAAATGTCGTATTTAATTAAATCATACGCTTTTAACGAAAGACAAATATCTCCGCCTCAAAGACACTGTAGTCGTCAGGTCGGAGATATTCAGCCTTATCATGACTTTCATTTTCCCCGAACCGGCATACTTTTCACTTTTGGTTTCCATGTATTTACTACGGGCGGATGAACAATTTTCGGGTGAATTTTTTTTTTCAGACGAAACTCATGCCTTATCTTTGAGCTATCGGTGTATAAAGAAATACCACTATTCCCTGTCCGTAGGCCTCCGTCCCATTCCTGCCTAGTTGGAAATCGTACGAATAAAAGCATCCTAACGCGGAAGTCCCAGAATGATGATATGCAATCAGTTCCGACATCAAAGTCGGCCCTGATCTCGTTGTGCCGTCCTATTTCAAGCTCGCAACGTGCCGGTATTCGGTATTAACCACTTAATCTAAAGGCCCCTTTGACTGCTGTGCCTATTACGAATACATTGGCGACTTCAAGTTAAGGATTATATTCAAATTTTTAGGTAAGTGCAAATTAAGGTACAAATTCTCGCTCTCGAGATTTATTCTCCGATAGTTTCTCGGCTCACGAGCTATATAATATCATCATTTGGATTCTTCAATGAATCTATTTAGGTCGGTCTGGCTATGCATCTCTGGGCAACTTCCTTTAAAATTTGCAGATATGTACTATTTGGAGCACTCAAAGAGTTGGACTATGGGGTGTGGATCATTTTCGCGTGCAGGGACAACGTCTGAAATATTCGGAACAAGCCAGACTGTAAGAGTTGAAAGTTGCGCCAAAGCAACAGAAGATCCCTGTAGTTGATAGACTGGTGGGTCGAAAACATGCATAACCCCAGCAGTCCTCGTACAGATCTTCCTTAGTAAATATTATAGTGCGCAGAGTGTTAAATGATATCTGATGACTTTTGGATACCGTGACATAAGAAAACTGAAAATCAGAAAGTCAAAAACTTGCAAAGCCATTGATCCCAACAGAATATGCTTGGTGATAAAAAGAACTTAGTTGCAAACCTGTCACTGGCTATCCTCATTTTTTCTTAGAACTTCGAGAGAGTGGTATTTTTAACTAAACTCGAGAAGCCTGCCAGCACAGGTGAATCTTATGGACCGCTAACCCTTCTTTTCCGAATCGCAAAAAACCCGCAAGGCCTTCTTAATGCCATACTTAAGCCCAGCAACGCTTTAACAGCTCACACTACTAATAACGCCTAAGCACTCAGATAACTCGTGACTTTAGATGTAACCGTCCCTGTGAAAGCGCACTAACAGTAACGTTTTTCTCCCTCACTGGACCAAGTAAACAGTAAGAAGCGTTGTTCGGTCGTCAGAGCGTCCCACAGGGTGTCGGCCATTATCCATTATTCGTTATTTTCACAACTCAAAGCTGCCACAGCTGCCTAAGGGAGTTTCAGTGATCCCTTACAATGACGACTGTTCGATATTGGCGTCCAGTAGCGGCATTAATAGCCTATGTGTGAAAGAAAATTTTTGTCTCTCCGATATATTTCGCCCGTTTTTACAGCTGGCTCGATGAGGTCAAGCTGCCATCAATTGTAACCGGTGAGCCCCAACAGCCTCGTTAGTGGGTCGAAACTCTGTCGCAATAACTATATGTAGGTCCGTAAATATTTGAGTTTTTTGGTGGCAAACATAAGACACAAAAACAAACAGATTCTGATTCTACCTCAGAAAAATCCCATAAGGAGCAGTTCTCAAGGGCTCTACTGCAAAATTGTAAGTAAAGTTCATATATACTTGTGTATCTGTGGGTGGCAATTTATTAAAAGAACTTATCCCGAGATAGCCCATTTTTCCCTTTTAAGCAATATTTTATTGGGCTCCCAAACAATATTTTACCGATTAACTAGCGATAGATGTAGTTTAAGCTGCCCCTTTAATAGAAGCTTGTAAAAATATAAAATTTTTCAAGTGAAACTTATTCTTTTTTAATTCAAAGGCAAACCTTCTAAATTCACTTAAGTTGTTCTAATAATAAAATGCCACAGTTATGTATTCTCTGCATCTCTATTTTTTTGTCCGTAAGTATTTTGCGCTTATAACTACTCTGGAAGCATGGTGAAATTATACACCATGCTCCATGGAAGGAACTCTGATCAAATCAATTATTTCAAAAAGTATCAGCTTTCAAAAATTGTTTTTATTTTCGGTTCGTAAACGTCGTTTATGTGAAATAGACGTCAAAATTTGCCTTCGATATTTGATATATATATATTTTCGAGTGCGTTGTTTGCAGCCAAAATATAACGAAATTTCTATCAAAATCGCAATCCATAGAAACTGCAGACAAATTTACAAAGCCATATTTTCAGTACGGGACAAAGCAGAGAAATAACGAATAACTAAAGACGCAGCAATGTCGGAGGAAAAAGATAAAAAAAAGAAAATCAATATGGAAGATGAACATTTGGAAAAAATTGAAAGATACAGGGAGCCAGAACAACGAATTCGAGCTGGAGAATCGGTGGGTTGAAAACAAAAAAAAACTATCAGCCTTGTCATGATTCACAAGGATTGAAAATTCATGATAGGACTGTATGATGGTGAAATTATCAATTATTAACTATAATTTCACCATGGGGCTGTATGTGTATTTCATCTACAAAAATTAACATTAGGGGTATTCGCTCTTATGTGTATTCGTTGTATGTTGGGTAGTCGTAACTGCATGAGCGTGGGATTTGTTGTTGCTAGCGGTACATCAAATACACATGCAACAACAACCACACGCTCGTCCAGTTACACTTACGCAGGATACAACGAATACATAGAAGCGCGAATACCACTATTGGTATATTTTAAGCCGGTTTTACAGTGGGGAGTTAACTCACATTCGGCAGTTTACTCTCAATTTTTGATATATTAGCTCTCTCTTCTTACGAGATATTTTGTAATATGTATTTCGTAACAATTGCTTTTCATGTTTTCATGTTTTGACGATTTTCTGCGCAAAATTTGGCAAAGCGCGAGAGAGGCGAAATTTTGCGAGAAGTTGCAAGTTTTTACGGGTAACAACTAGTAACTACTTCCAAGGCTGCGTTTTCGTACTTTTCTGGAAATTTCTCTCACTAAGGGCAAGTTTTTCAGTGCACGTCTGTGATTTGAACTTAGTTTCAATGCTCGAGCTGGCCAGTTTGAATTAAGATTAGCCAATCAATTATCAGCCTGCTGTTCAATATAAATGCAGTTTATGTGATCTATGCCTTAACCTGGTACTGAAAACCCGGGTTATTGGCAAATTACTGGATATTCTTTTATTGGTCAAAACATGAACAAATTTCCTTATAATTAACTTCCAAATGAAAATTAACCACACTGGTTTCTCCCTTGATTTAGGATTATTCTGGGCCATTAGGAAGAAAATTAGAGATAAAATATCTTTAGGGGTTTTTTTGGAGATTTTTTTCAAATATTAAAATTAAATTTTTTCAAGAAGTTATAATTTTTTATATAATAATTTATAATTTTTTATTATATCTAATATAGCTTCCTCTTCTTTTTTTGTTAAAGTAGGTAGAATTTTTTTTAAATCTTTCGAGTGCCGTTTTCTCATGCCGGTTTTAAAATTGATCTGCCCTTTAAGCAAACATTTTCAGAAAACAATTGCGTTCAGATTGAAAATACATCAACAGGCTATTCACTATTCCTTAGGTTCTCTCCCGTACGCAACGCGGGATCCCACAGGTGCCCAAAATAGCCCAAAATCATCCCCGTACTTAACAAAATGGGTAATAGAGAGCGAAAATGGGAACGTATTGGATCGTAATTGTCTTCTTCTTCCTGTCCGAAACAGCCCGGACTTTTTCTCCGGGTAAAAATGGATAAAGTGTCAAAGTGCATATCAGCTGTTTTGTGTTTACATGTTGCTTGCATTTACTTGGTGCTTTTAAGTAATAGCGAATGTATTTTCAATCTTTATATACTTAAAATCAAATTTGTGAATCAACAATTCAATTTCCAAGTGTGTGCATTTAAGTTACAAAAACAAAAACAACGCGAATTAGCTAATTCTCAAATTGTGGACACGAAATGTGGTTTTTTGCTTTCCCGTATTTCTGGACTATGTTCCATTTTTGAGAGCAAACTTTTTGCTTATTCTCTAATTACCGGATCCGGTCCGGATTGTTAAGGAAAGAACCTACTTTATCCATTTTTACCCGGAGAAAAAGTCCGGGCTGTTTCTCGTGCCCGAAGAAGACACTTACGATCCAATACGTTCCAATTTTCGCTCTCTATTACCCATTTTGTTAAGTACGGGAATGATTTCTGGGCTGTTTTGGCACCCGCGGGATCCCGCGTTGCATACGGGAAATAGCCACGATTTAGAGAATACAAAGGTTGCGCCGATCTCGGAGCGCTATTCCTCTCTTAACGAATTTGACAGAATCGTTGTTTGCATGACGTCACACTTGTGCAACTTGTTTACGTTTTCCTTGCAACATTTTTTCTTCTTCTTCCATTCTTGCTCACGTTTTGGCATTTCTCTCTCACAATTGCACCAGTGTGACGTCACACAAAAGTTATTCTCAAAAATCCTCTCTGATCGGCGCAATCTTGTATTCTATCATTCTTGGGAAATAGCCAATAATTACTCTCGTGTGTTTTTGGCCATTGGTCGGTTTCACGCTGGAACATTTCAGCCACCAAAACAACTCTCTTTGTAGGCAAGAGAGGCAGAACCTATTGTTTCGTCTTTCTCGCGCACTAGTAGGTCATAAAATTAACTATGACAGTTGTCATCATTAGAGCGCTTAAAATCGATTTGCGGTATAGTTTTAGGCGCAGTAGTAAAGACAATAATCAGCCATTGAGTTTTGTCATTGGCGTCGAAAAGGGCTGCATGTTGATATTGCGAATTTTTATGTTTTAGCAGCATGGATACAATAAAATTTCTTTGCAAGTTTATGAAACAAAATGAAACATAAATGAGCTAAAAATAATTTATAAAATTTTTATTAGTTTTAATCGGCGCGTTGCGTAGCTGATATGGCCATTATATCTGCCATTTTTGTAAACCACTGAACGTACCCATTTGTTCTGACGTAACAACCCGCTTTGACATTTTCAATCGCATGTACATTTTCGTTGTCCGCGGAAAATTTCTTTTTTATGCATATTGGAATAAAAGTGCGTGTGAATTTACGACTGATGTATACATATAGGCCTCAGTGACAAAAAATCGATTATATTTTCAATCAAAACGCAATAATTTCGCACACGAATTTGACGATTAACTGCAGGAAATCAGTTCGAAATTCGGGTGGACCTCGTGTTTTTATTTTTGTACCTCCTTCATTTAGGCCTGTTATCTGCATTACATACAGGAAGGTCGTGTTGGGGGAAAAGTCAATAAAATTTTAGGGGCCCAAGGCAATTGTGCCTATAAACTACCAACAATAAAGCATCTTTCCAAGTACGACAATTTCATTCTTCCACAAATACCGGGGAGCGACGTAGGTTTACGTCGTGTAAAAAAACAGCTAAAGTGGATTCCGTAAAAATTGAAGATTTGATGGATTCTGATCCTGATATCGAAATCATCGAAAAGGATAGTGGAATGTCGTCGTTGGGCGGAAGCAAGGACGAAACACCTGAGCGCCGGGCAGTAGAGAAAGTTGTAAGCATTTCAAATTGGAAAAAAATTTAAAAATGATTGTGTGAGCTGCTAAAACTGGGAAATGTCCAAGTTTATTATGAATAATAAATAAAAATTTTGTTGAATAGTGGTTTAGTCTAAGTTTAATATGTTTACGATATGTATGTATGTAGTAATTCATGTGTATTTAAATATTTTGTATTTTATTTTTCAGACTGCCCCCAAAAGCACGGATGATGAAAATTTCGACGATGTAAGTTACACCGTATTTATTGAAGAACTTTTTTGTGCAAATAACAATTTCTTTGCGCTTAAAGCATTTTGAAGGAAAATCGATGAAGTCTCGCTACACTCATTAAGCACGACGAGCATAACCTCACTTTGGTTAGGCAATCACACAGTATATGTGCATTTTTTACAATAATTAATTTAATTAATTTTTTAAATAAGCAAGTACATTTGCACATCTATTCTTATACTTTGCGCCGTATTAAACCTGTGCTCAAAAAAACTCAATCCATAATTTCAACATACAAGAAAGTAAACTAACAATATGTGATTACATTAAAATTAAAAATTTTGTTATCTTGCAATACTAATATTATCAAAATTACAGGAGCGGTAATGCATAGCTTAAACATCATCTTAAACATTACACTTCTAATGTCATTTGCACTTTGCTCTTATTTTCAATCTACTTTTATTGTTTGAGTTCTCATAGCACTAAATTTAAATTCTTTCAGGAACCAGATGAAACACTTGGTGAACGACTTTGGGGTCTCACAGAAATGTTTCCTGAACCGGTTCGTCGATTAACTGGCAAAGTAGTCGACCTTACAACTACCAGCATCAAAGGTCTTTACTCGTTCTCATGCAATGCTTCCTGGATATTTTTTACGAGTTCAGTTATTCTATTTGCGCCCGTCATTTTCGAAACGGAACGCGCTCAAATGGAAGAGATGCAAAAATCGCAACAGAAGCAAGTACTACTCGGTCCAGGTACGGCGATGGATCGGGCCGGTCCACCACCAACCTTACCACTCATTCGATAAGTTCATACAATTTAAACTTATAAATTTGTAAGAATAGAAAGAAAATAACCCGCAAATCAAATCCAATTGTCCTCTTCAAATAAACCAAAGCCTAACAGGCGAGAGGAAAATTCCTGTAACGCGTTCATCGTTTATTGATAAAACAAAAATGCAATTTTCTTGTAGACGTACATATAATAAAAATAATTACTATTGAGAATACTTAAACCAAGTACTTAAGTTTTTTTTTTTTATTGAAAACAAACATGAAACAAATATAGACGAGCATTAACGGCTTTACTTTTTGTGTATGTACGATTTAACATTCAAGTAGTCAGCCCACAAATATGTACATGTAAATAACAGTATACTAAAAATTTAAAGACGTTTTTACTAAAATTAATTAAATATGTCGTGAAGCTTCAACAAATGGCGACTTAAATTTAGGTTATATTTTTACACCAACTTAAAACGAAAGATTTAAAGTAAAACGCTTAAAATACAAGACAACGCCTTAGCACTGGTTATATTTTTGAGTATGCAATAGCCTTCAAAATACTGGAAAATTTTACGTTCTCAGAGGCACCAAATAGTTAACATTTTTATGCAAAAATGTTTGAATCTAATGGTTGAGTATTTTGACGCATAACAGATGCCATTACACCTTCGCTGTTAATTATGCGAATATTACTGTTGCTTCGTCGATATTTGTGCCAGTGTTTTTTATCGTTTACCGTCGATATTAGATAAATTTTTTGATTTGGTTTAAGTCCCGGTGGGTCAGTATGCACTTTACCCCCAGCGCATTCAATAATTTCTATATAAATGGAAGTTAAGTATTAGTTATGTACATAAAGAACATTATTGTTGTTTTACTTACGTTTTATTTCTGCCGGCTGTGGCAAAATGCCAGGTGTGGTAAGGAAATCGTATCCTTCAAAAATTTTACTCTTTCTTGCCAATTCCAATGATTTGAATAATGAAAATTTATGCCGTTTTTCAAATTCTTGATCTCTGAAGAAATGGGTAGCGCCGCGTGGCACAGTTTTGGTACTGTTGAATGTTTCCAACCACTTGGATGTAACAATCGGTATACCTTTTGCCATGGCGATTAAAAATTTTAGTGTCCGATTTCCTTTATCCATCACCAAAACGTCTGCATCCGTGGGATTATTCGCGACGCACCAGTTGCCTGTAACATGTGCACAATATGTATGTACTTTTATTCAGGAAGCACAAAAAACAATTATCGCTTTTAAGTGTACCGAGTATGCATAAAATAATAAAAACTAAAAAATTTAACTTTAAACATTTATTATATATTTTAAGCCAGGAAAATTAAAAAAAAAATCCTTTTTTAGTCCATAAAATCCCCGAGTCACCGAGAAAGTAAATACCAAGGGTTCAAAAACAAAAAAAAAGTATCGGAAAATTCTCAAAAGGTAAAAAAAAACAAATATCCAGAAAAAACCGAAAAACAGCAGAGGTTCCGAAAATTACTGACCTGGCGAATTGTCCACTAAACTTTGAAATAATTTCGGTTCAACCATGGTCATAGCGACTTGTAAGGTTCGAGCCTAATGGAGTAGATCATTTAATAAAAGCCTCTTGTAAAACTGGTTATGTATTTTCGCTTACGGTACGCTTCGAGTTTTTGGGTTCATCATCTGATGACACAATCGTGTTACGTTTGTGACTATGATCTGAAGCAGATGTTGTAGAGCGCGTCTCTTTTCTCTCATTTGCTTTAGTATGTTTTGAAGCTTCAGTTATAGTTTTATCAGCGGAAGAATTAATTTTTGACTCTGTGTGCTCGTTCCGCGAATTCTTCCGTTTCCTTGTGTCCCGTGAAGACCCTGTTGACTTCGTTGAAACAATGCTTTCTTGAGATTCTGTTTTAGAGCGAGACCGAGTAACACGCTCTAAAAGATATTTAAAAAAAATGTTAAACTTGAGTACATAGTACGAATTTGGAGCCTTTCGAACTTACTTTTGTTTTCTGGTGCATCAGTTTGCTCAACTTTCCGCAGTTTTGATTGGGTAGGTCCTGACGAGTTACTTGGCTTATCAACCTCCAGGTCACTAGCTCTTGATCGTAAGCGGGTCTTCCTTTTGGGAGGTACATCTGTTCCGGATGTTTCTGCATCCTTAAGTGAACCTACCAGCTTTGGCCTTTTTGTGCCTTTATGCTCACTATCTTTTCCAATTTTATCGCGGGCTCTTGACTCAACGTCTATTTCAAGGGCTGTTTTTTTTGGTTCTGGTAAATTGTTCTTTGATGTACCACTTCCTTCTTTTTCGGGTTGAATAGCTTTTTTCGGAGTATTCTCTTCTTTTTTTATGGGTCGGACGGTTTCAATTACCATGTTACTATTTCGACCGCTATTTGTTGCCTTTAGGTTGTGTGCTGTACACACTTCAGTAGCGTCTTCTTGCTTATCCAACAAAGTCTTCGATTTAATTAATTTCACTGGAGCTTTTGTTTCTTTAATATTGGATAGCAGTCTATCGAAATCTTTAGAATCTTTTTTAGTTGTTAATTTGTTTAACTCAACAGATTCTTCCTCTGAATCAGACCCGAATAACATACGTTTTTTTACCGAAGCCACATTTCGTTCCACTGAAAGATCATCAAAATTATCAGTAATCCATTTAGGCGTGCATAATTGGAGATCGTCCAATTCTGATTGTGAACTACTTATACTGGAATGTTTATCTTTTGCTCCCTTGCTTGAGGAACTTTTACTTTGTTTTGGTTTTTTAAAATGACCCCGCTTCTTTTCAATAATATTGGTCGATGCAAATTCAGACTTTTGAGAAGTGTTATTTTTATCCTCGAAGGAACTCGTAACACTTTTTGGCCCTTCAATCCTTCCTTCAACTGATGGAAATACAGTACAATTTGGCTTTTCTTGCGGCGTAGATATATTTGATCCACTCATGAGTTCTCCTTGCTCTAATACTTCAGATTGCCGCACGGAGGTACTTGTAAATATTTGAGTGGCGGCAAGCAAATTTATATTTCTATCACATGGTTCAGTTGTTGGTGCTTGGTTGGTATCCAAAGAAGCTGAATTGCAATTATCTGATCTTCGCTCTGCACCAATTAGTTTTCCTTGCTCTAATACTTTAGATTGCCGCATGAAGTTACTTGTAAATATTTGAGTGGCGGCAAGCAAATTTATATCTCTATCAGATGGTTCAGTTGTTGGTGCTTTGTTGGTATCCGAAGAAGATGAATTGCAATTATTATCTGATCTTCGATCTGCACCAATTAGTAATCAAATTTATGTATACCAAATAAAACCTAGAGCTTATGCTCTCAAATACTTACCTTTGATGGGTGCAAAAATCTGGGTTTGCTCCAGGCTAAAATCTGTTTGTGGAATATTTTCTTTGCCGCTTAACGATAATTCAGCGCAAGTAACATGCTCCTCCAACCGAGATCCATTTTGCTTAGCAATAGGTACGAATACCTGTGTTGGCATTAGTTCAATTTCCTCCGCATATCCGTCACCTCCGGTGATGCCGTCGCTGATTGGTAAAGCTGGATGATCTGACGACGGGTCGTTTTTTGAAGATACACTCTCTTGTACGTCAACTTTATTTTTTACTTCTAAATTTATATTCGTTCCTTCAGTTGATGGCATCGTTTTATTTGCAGTCACGGTTTTTTGTGCCACAGCTTTGTCTTTTGCTTCTTGGCTAACATTCGTTCCGTCAGTGGCAACTTGCATATTCATTTGCGCCAATTCAGGTATATCAAAAAGATCTGGTGTGCAAACATCATCTCGCTCTGCACATTCAGCGGTCCCATCCGTAGAGCAATTCTTTGATGTGTGCGCCGACCAGTTTAGTGCCTCCATTTCCGCATCGCAGCCCATAGGCTTGGAGGCATCTAGGAATACTAGGATTAACCAAATAGTTTAATTTAAATATCGCTAAAAATGTGGTCTAGTATTTACCTTTTTTATTCACGTTTTCATTGCTGAACGAATGCGTTAAAACCACAGGATTGTGTTTAATATTTGGTATGACTATAGACGAAAACATCATATCATCTTCGCCGTTTTCAAATAAATTTTCATTGAAGTCTTGTGTACATATGCGAATCATTTCACTCGATTTTTGCAAATTAGGTTCTAATAATAAATCAATTTCATTTCCACTACCTTGCTGTGTCGCATTGGGCATTTGTGTTTCCGGTATAAAGGATTCATCTTCGAAATTTCTACTATCATCAGAGTGGTTACGGGAAGCGTTTAATATAGTTGAATTTTCAACTCGTTTTATGTGTTGCGTTTCGGGAATATTAAAACCTTCCTCTCGTGAATCGCTTAGAAGAGATACATCTGGAGAACTAAACAAGCGTGTACTTGTATTAGCCAATGACGACCTAGGAGCTTTAGGAGTTGGCGCCAAGAAAATTTCTGGATTACAATTATTTTCTAAAGACTACAAGGGATAGAAAATTTACTGTTTTCTCTATTTTTATTTATAATTGTACAAGCGTACCTTCACGGTTTCTTTTGGATATATCTGTCCCTCTACTTCACCAAAACGCAACTGAGTACTTACAGTTATGCACTGTTTGAGCTTCGAATCCAACCGTTTTCCATTCAAAAACGTACCGAGCTTACTGTGTAAATCATATATATACAAAGCGTCCCCAGATACATCCAAAA